CATCAACAGACGGTGATGAAGGCATTTTGGTTGACTATTTACTATGCCTTGTAGAAGAGTCGAAGCAAGACAAAAAGGTGATTGACATAGTCGTTCAGATTATGAAGAAATGCGATCAGTGGACCATTACCGGCGACATGATAAACGGCCTTGGCCTGCTGCTGGACCAGGTGGTTCCCGAGAGGATGAATTTGTGGTTCGACTCGAACCCAACGCCCAGCCGGGTACAGCCAGCTCTGGAGGACCTGGCGAAGCGGAGCGTGGAGGTCGACCTGTACACCTCCTCGCGGTCAGGTGAAGGCGCCTCGTACCTGAAGGCTCTGACGGGGCCCGGAAGCCTGTGCAAAGTGACGAGCTGCCAAGGCTTCGTGTCGGCTTCCACGGCCGAGCTCCTGCCGACGTCCGTGACGTCGCTCACGATCTCAACGGACTTCCAGAGCCTGCCGGCGCTGGCGGCGGCACTCGCCAGGCTGGAGGACCTCGACTGGTTCTGTGAGTATCAGCCTGCGTTTACGTTCCCCTTTTTGGCGTACACGACTGACAAGATGTGGATAATATATACTAATTAATACAAATCTTTGTGCAGACAGACTGATATTATCACACACACACACACACACACACACACACACACACACACACACACACACACACACACACACACACACACACACACACACACACACACAATGGCGGAGGGAAAGAACTGGAAAGGTAGCATCTTTAAAACACCATTTTTTATCTGGACTTAGAAATTCTTATTAGCTGATCTAATAAGAGCATTTTGTTTACACATTGTACTGTATACAACCACAATGTGAACTGGATGAAAATATTTCGTAGGTTGGTGTAAGATACCATAAAAAAAATTCAAGGAAGAGGGCGGAAAATTAATCGCCATAGCAATCAAAGCACAACCACACGTATTCACCACTACGAAAACTATTAGAGACAATATAACACCTCGTTATACAACACCAACTAATATTACTGAATAACAACAATACATTAGTGGAAGCAATACGGCACTACAACAGAAAGCACGTGTTTCCACAGCTCTGGGTCTGACCGACGACGCCCGCCCCGACCCCGAGACGCTGCCGCCCCTGCCCGGCCCCTTCATGTACATCGACTCCCCTCGCAACCTCAGCTCTGATGACGTGCCCTGGTGGTGCCACGCCGCCCGGCAGATGTGCCCGCCCTCCAGTCAAAGGCGGTACTCGTACATGGGCGTTAGTCTCGTCAAAGGTACGTCAACAGTCGAACACCTGCCCCACTCCTGATGTACTGCAAAAACTATCATTTTGTATTTTACAAGTATGTATATATTGGATTATCCATTCTACTTCGTGCATATCTAACTCTCGATGGCCCGGCAGGAGGGGACTCCGAGCAGCTGATCCGGCAACTGCACGAGCGGGGCGTGTGGGCCGAGGATCTCCTGGTGACCTTCAGCACCTCCGACGTGGCGATTGACTGCGAGCGGCTGCAGAACTTGGCGCTGGAGCTGGCGGTGTCCGATAACCCGAAGTTTATCATAGATTTCTGATGTGCTTCATGGGACGCATTCTCTGCTCATTCTCCGTGCTGCTATATTCGCATGAACAGAAAATTTGCTACTTTCGGCCTATTCGAAATTGATTAAATCCGTTATAAACTCTTAATCTAATTTGCTCACATTTGTGTTCTTCACATTATATCTGCTGACAATCAGAAAATTGCTTTTCTTTTACATATCTCACGTTTAGGCAGTTCATCGTTATGATAATACGCATAAAAACCTGACTAACAGAAGAGCAATATATAAATCTCTCTCTCTCTCTCACTCTCTCTCTCTCTCTCTCTCTCTCTCTCTCTCTCTCTCTCTCTCTCTCTCTCTCTCTCTCTCTCTCTGTGTGTGTGTGTGTGTGTGTGTGTGTGTGTGTGTGTGTGTGTGTGTGTGTGTGTGTGATTGAGTGAGTGAGTGAGAGAGAGAGAGAGAGAGAGAGAGAGAGAGAGAGAGAGAGAGAGAGAGAGTGAGTGAGTGAGTGAGTGAGTGAGTGAGTGAGAGAGAGAGAGAGAGAGAGAGAGAGAGAGAGAGAGAGAGAGAGAGAGAGAGAGAGAAAGGTGGTTGAGTGGGTGGGTGAGTGGGTGGGTGGGTGGGTGGGTGAGTGAGTGAGTGAGTGAGTGAGTGAGTGAGTGAGTGAGTGAGTGAGTGAGTGAGAGAGAGAGAGAGAGAGAGAGAGAGAGAGAGAGAGAGAGAGAGAGAGAGAGAGAGAGAGAGAGAGAGAGAGAGAGAGAGAACATTAATGCATCCGAACAGATGTTTGGACGTGCAACATGTGGAAACAGAGAGGATCGTTGCCAGCGATCTCTGTTCTATCCTGGTGTCTTTCGTTTGTTTGTTTGTTTGTTTGTCTGCAACTCTACTGTACATGCTATTCACTTTCTAAAGTTAAGAATAGGATAAGCAAGGGAAGAAATGAGAGTAATGAGGACAATCTCCGAAATTATATCTCCCTTTTAGTATTACACAACATACTTTATTTTCCACCTCGGCCAAGTGGGTCTACGCATAAGGCAGCTCACTTTACACTCGGCATTACACGAGCATCCCCGTCTTCCACTGTAAAGTCTTTGTAATTGGTCTTGGAGAGCACCGGGAAAAAAAGAGACTGTTCTGTGTGTCGCCGTGAGATAATGATGATTGTTATTAATGAAAAGAATTTTTTACTTGCTGTGACATGAAAATTTACGTCGGGTATCTTTATTTTCGATGAATGTGTTCTGCTTGGGCAAGACACAGGTTATTGCATTAATGAGTAAATGCGAATGAATGTAATAGTCATTATTAATAGCAATTATGTTATGATTGGGGAATTATTATGAATTAATTCAAGTGTTCGGTGCTACCAGGCTTTGAGTTTGATCAGTTAGTAATAATTTAACAAGATGTTATTTGCTCCAGGTCTGCAACATCAGGATGTGAAAACCATTAGAATGTTTGTATTTTCCTTGACTAGAGGGATTCCCTATAGCGACAGTTATACATATATTATGGCATATATAACTGTGAAGAACTACTACTGTATTACACCCGTGTACTAAAGGCCTTGCATATTTACGTATCGTTGACACATCATTGCCTTACTTTTCCAGTTTAAAAATGTATTTTAAAAGTAAATAGGTGGAGCTTCTGAAACCAGATAGAGGTATTGTGGAAGTTTGAGTGGGTGAACTTTGGAAACTCCCTGGAATATGTTGTCAATACGACCAGCCGTTTCTTCATCCAAACGCCCTGCCGCAGCTTCAAGCCAGACACCGGAAAAGGAGCTTCTGAATGCCTTACTAGTACATACGGCTGACAAGAACAAAGAGGGAATCGCTCTGGCAAAAGCGTTTCAGAGGCTCAACAAAGGAGGTCCTTGTATCAAGACGGCCGCCACTTCCGCTGTGGGAAGGGAATGGGAGTATGTTCCTCGAAAGTGGACAGAAGGAAAAGATAGAAACGGAGGAAGATCCCGAAATGTTTGACACGCACTTTACTCTTTGCTCCAGAATACGTGTAGGTTGGCTGCCTCCTGGGAAGTCTGGGTCACTTCTGGCAATACTCTGGAACGCCTCATCGGCTTAGTCCACTACGGACCACCCAGAGACAGAGACTAAGGGAAGGATTGGTGAAGTATGAGGAAAATGTCTCTGAAATGCTAAAGAAAGCTGCACATCTAGCGGGGACTGATCTAAACACACTGGATAATATACAGAGATTAAACAGTGTGTTGATCGTATAAAGGAAATGCTTGATCGTTCCAAAGGCTATTGTTAAGACAACAGTCGATATTTTATCAAACCAGATAAGAGATGGTCAATGCGGCGACCTCACTGATTACCTTCTCTGCAGCATAGAAGAAAGTAACTAGGATGAAGATGTCATTAAATTAATCGTCGGACTATTGAAAAATACGACATACCGGCGATATGATAAACGGTCTTGGCCCACTGCTGGACCAGGTGGTTCCCGAGAAGATGAATTTGTGGTTCGACTCGAACCCAACGCCCAGCCGGGTACAGCCAGCTCTGGAGGACGACCTGTACACCTCCTCGCGGTCAGGTGAAGGCGCCTCGTACCTGAAGGCTCTGACGGGGCCCGGAAGCCTGTGCAAAGTGACGAGCTGCCAAGGCTTCGTGTCGGCTTCCACGGCCGAGCTCCTGCCGACGTCCGTGACGTCGTTTACGATCTCAACGGACTTCCAGAGCATGCCGGCGCTGGCGGCGGCACTCGCCAGGCTGGAGGACCTCGACTGGTTCTGTGAGTATCAGCCTGCGTTTACGTTCCCCTTTTTGGCGTACACGACTGACAAGATGTGGATAATATATATTGATTAATACATATCTTTATGCAGACAGACAGATATTATTACACACACGTGCGCGCGCAAACATGTTCACGTATATTTACATATTTATATGTATGTATTTGTGTACATATAACCTCCAGATGTATGTGTGACCGACGACGCTCTTCCTGACCCCGAGACACTGCCGCCTGGGCCCCGAGGACGCTCCCCGAGGCGGTGCCACGCCGCCCGGCGGATGTGCCTGGCCGGAAGATACGCGTCTAGCTCTGTCTGTCTTGAGGGGTGCGTATCCACTTGCCCTAGAACAAGGGGTGTGGGTGGGTGGGTGGGTGGATGGATGGATGGATGGACGGACGGGTGGATGGAAGGATAGACGGGCGGACGGATAGATGGATGGATGGATGGACGGAAAGATAGACGGACGGGCGGATGGATAGACGGATGGATGGATGGGAAGGATGGACCGAAGGAAGGACGGAAGGATAGGTAGAAATATGGCCGGATGAGTGGACGGATAGGCTGAAAGACAGACAAATGGAAAGACAAGACAGAAAGACTGACACGTGATTTTTTTTTTACCGTATATCCAACTCTACCGCCTAACTACCCGCCAGGTGAGGACTCGGAGCCGCTGATCCGGCAGCTGCTCGACCGTGAGGTGTGGGTCGAGGACCTGGACGTGAACTGCAGCTCCTCCGACGCGGCGATCGACCGTGATCGACTGCACTACATGGCGCTCGACCTTAGTGTCTCTCCTGTGTGGATATCTTCTGAGCTTGAGTGATAATAAAAAAAAAAAAAAAAAAAAAAAAAAAAAATATTTGGGAACTGTCGAGGTTTAGCGGTAACTTGCTGAAGAAGATGTGGCAGGCTCGGTTAGGTGAGGTGTGGCGATTCCTGGCTGATTGTGACTGCGTTTTTTTTTTATAAATTGTGATTTATTAGAATCAAATGATAATAATAAAAATGGTGTTGCTTTATTATTATTTTTATTTACACTAACGGTTGAAAACAATAACCTAAGTATTACGCACACACATATAAATGAATAAATACAAACACACAAATATATATACATTTATATATATATATATATATATATATATATATATATATATATATATATATATATATATATATATATATATATATATATACAAAGAGAGAGAGAGAGAGAGAGAGAGAGAGAGAGAGAGAGAGAGAGAGAGAGAGAGAGAGAGAGAGAGAGAGAGAGAGAGAGAGAGAGAGAGAGAAGAGCAGCAAGAGAGAGAGAGAGAGAGAGAGAGAGAGAGAGAGAGAGAGAGAGAGAGAGAGAGAGAGAGAGAGAGAGAGAGAGAGAGAGAGAGAGAGAGGGGGGGGGAGTGAGTGAGTGAGTGAGTGAGTGAGTGAGTGAAAGAAAGAGAAAGAGAAAGAGAAAGAGAGAGAGAGAGAGAGAGAGAGAGAGAGAGAGAGAGAGAGAGAGAGAGAGAGAGAGAGAGAGAGAGAGAGAGAGAGAGAGAGAGAGAGAAAGAAAGAAACAGACAGAGAAGCGAGAGCGAGAAAGAACGTGTGAAATCGAGGAAGACAGACAGACAGAGAAAGAGAGGGGACTATGCCTCGCGTCTACCCGAACTCAACCCACCCTTCTGTAGCCAACGCACTTCCTTTCCCTCCGACTCCCTTCCCACGGACTTCTAGGCGGTCTGTGTCCACTACCTGCTCCTTAACACTCCCTCAGCGCCCTCCGGTGTATGTCCTGAGTGTGACCTCTTTAGCGACGACGTCAGATCCTCCGGGCGCATGGGACCTCTTGGCATCGTGGTCACGGTTTTCATAAATTACGAAAGAGGAAAGAGAGATGGGGGTGAAGGAAAGAAGGAGAGATAAGGGGGAAGGAGAGAGGGAGGGAGGGAAGGAGAAAAGGAAGAAAAATAAAAGTGCGAAGAGGAGAGAGAGAGAGAGAGAGAGAGAGAGAGAGAGAGAGAGAGAGAGAGAGAGAGAGAGAGAGAGAGAGAGAGAGAGAGAGAGAGGGTGGGGGAGGGGGCATATATAGAAAAAAAAGAGAGACAAAGACAGAGAGACAGCCAAAGAAAGACAGACAGACACATACCAGAAAAAGAAGCACCTCTCCTTCCTCCTTCTAAAAGCCATCGCACCCCCCTCCCTCCCACCCTACTCCACCCTACCGAAGGCGCAGAGCAATTACCTCCTCCCCAACGCCCTTCCGACTGCTCTCCCTGTAGTTACCTCTCGCCCCGCTGACGTGCCGGGCCCTCCTTCAGCAGACAAGACGGACTTTATCTTTATGCAAATACCCGCCTGCAGCCACCGTTCTTTATACCCACACGCGTCGCCGCTCGTCAACACCTTCTTGATATTAACTTTATTCTCCCTCCCCTTCCCCTCCCCCCACCCCCCCTATTAGCCTCCGGGATCTAATTAAATTGTTTATGATGTGTGTGGAGGGTTTTCTCTTTACACCAACTTCAGCCTTTTTCTCTTATTCTTGTTTTCTTATCCTTTTTTTTTCTTTCTTTCTTCTTATGTTTGTTTATAGTGTTCCTATGATTATTAACCCCATTCTTTAACATCCTCATTTTCATCCTCATCGTAATCAGTTCCGTTAAAATCATCGTTTACCTTTATCCTTTTCAGCATCAATACAGTAATTCATTATACTCGTTACCCTTACTCATATCGTAGCTATTGTCACTATCATCAATCCTGTCATGTCAAACCTCATTATCATCACTTCCCCTCCCTTATCACTCTCACTGTTTTGTCATAGTTATCATACAGACTAGATAAACATAACATAGGGTTTACAGAAGTGACGTAGTGGCAGAGGGGGCGCAGGGGGTCGGCAGGGTGAGGCAGAGGGAAGGCAGGGGTCGAGCAGCGGACGGCAGGGGGCAGAGAGCAGTCCTCGTCTTATGGCTCCCTGGACTTCCTCCTCCTTGCCACTTTTTTGAGTTGTATACAATGGTTACAAGTAGATTCCCATTCATGTGGCCGTAAATGTATTGCACTCTCTCTTCTCTCTCTCTCTCTCTCTCTCTCTCTCTCCATCTTCTCTACTCTTTTCTCTCCATCTTCTCTACTCTTTTCTCTCCATCTTCTCTTCTCTTTTCTCTCCATCTTCTCTTCTCTTTTCTCTCCATCTTCTCTTCTCTTTTCTCTCATCTTCTCTTTCCCTTTCCCATCCCCTCTCTGGGCTTTTCTATCCATCTCTGCTTCCCTTTCTTCCCCCTTCCCTCCACCTCCCAGACCCTCTTTTCCTTCCCTAACCCTTCTTCCGCCCTCCGACCCCCCCCCCTCGCCCGCCCTCCGACCCTCCCCTCCCCCGCCCCCCTGCCCTCTGTCCATCTGGCGATTCCTTCCTCTCGCCTTCTCTCGGTCCAAATGCGATGAACCTTTACCTTTTCCCCGATACAACCTTTGAAAGAAAAGTTCGGATCCTCCTGATGTTGATTCTAGAGGCAGTCCCGTTACATGTACAAGCGGGGCGGAAAGCATTTCACGCCAGAGCAGATGAGACGCAGGTGCGATAGGAATGCGGAGTCACGTAAACACAACTATTACGGAAGAACAAACTCACGTGCGGAGGAATGGGCGACAAACATACTGTATTGCAGGGAAGGTTATTGGTGCCAGTTCGCGGTCCAAGGGTCGAGCCCGCCCTCCGCTCTCGCTTTGCACGGCCTCGACCAGACACCTTTGCCCAGGGGTCGTGATCGGGGGGAGTGTGCAGGTCGTGATTGGCGACGGCTGGCCACGCCCCTACTCCAGCACGACAGGTCATAAGGGTCATGGAAGATTAACTTAAACATTAGTATCGCCATCCTCACTTCCTATGTTTCCTGTTGACCTTTTAGTCTGTTGACAAAAGAGACTGGTGGACCCCGCCTTTGTGTCCTAGACTAAATACACACACGCACGCACGTACGCACGCACGCACACGCACACACACACACACAGAGGCATGCACACACACAGACACACAGACACACACACACATGCAAGCACAAATAGAAACACCCTCCCCCCCCACCCACTCACATGCCCCCCACCCTCCTTAGTAGTTCTCCAGGCTCAGATATACAGCAATAATACCTGCTCAGAATTAATACTCACCCAACAACACATCTATGACACACTCAAGAAAAAAATCGAATCGTCCTGCGCACCCTAGCTCAAGTGCGCTCATTGCTGCCTTCGTGACCCCTTGACCCCTTGACCTCCGCGCCGCATCGGACTGAGTAGAAGAAGCTGGGACATAAAACTTGCATTATCCGCATCCGATGGGCTGTCAATTCCGTTCCTCTTGGGTGAGTTCATTCAAAAAAGAAACTTACTCATTGAGGATGTACGATTTCATATTCATACAATCATATATATATATATATATATATATATATATATATATATATATATATATATATATATATATATATAAGAAAATAAAATAACAATAAACACACAGACAGACAGATGTAAAACTGTTCACATTCTTATCAAACCGTCTGATTTGATACTGATTTCTTGAATGGTCTATAATAGTCAAAGTCCCCATTTTCTACTTGATGAAATGCCAAGAAACAAAATAAAAAGAAGATTCGAAATATGCATCACTTCTATAAGAATTTAATCAACTCGCCATCATAAAAACCGCCAGAGTAAGGGAGGACCACCAAATCTCGCTTTGCCGAGTGAGACTCCTCGTCAGGCGATAAAGATAAGATAAAACCGAGGATGGGCTGTTTAGCTTGACTCGAAACGTCGTTTATTATTCATTTCTCATTCGGTTATATTTAATTTCAGCTTGTACACGCACTACTGTGTTCGTGTTTTGTTCACCATCATATAAATAAGTCGAATTCATTTAGTTTTTTTTCCGTTTCTTGTAACTTTGTCGGAAAAGGTTATTCAGACGATCTTTCTCCTTCAAGTCGTCTTCAGGATCTCTCCGCCATTTATTTTTTGTAAGTACACTTTTTTCATTGACCAATTAAGTCTTTTTGTGGCTTCTCATCCCGCAAGATGACCTTATCGGGTTTCAAAGAAAAAGACAACCTTTCTTACCTACAAATCCTCTCTCTCTCTCTCTCTCTCTCTCTCTCTCTCTCTCTCTCTCTCTCTCTCTCTCTCTTTCATCATTATCGGGCATCCTAGAAGTCAACTTTTCTCTCCCCTTGGAGACCTGCTGACCTGTTTCAGCTGACCCGCAGTTTACTAGCCCCTGACTAACTCTAAGCGAGGGCTTATCTCCGCTACGGAAACTTTAAAGATGCGAGTTGTATGGTTACTTCTTCTCCCTCCTTTCCTTCTCCTTGTTTCTTCTTTCTTCTTTCTTTTCTTCCTTTCTAAACTACAAAGGCCGGTTTTAACTTATGACAACCATGAAGTCAAAAATCGAACAGAAGAGAGAGAGAGAGAGAGAGAGAGAGAGAGAGAGAGAGAGAGAGAGAGAGAGAGAGAGAGAGAGAGAGAGAGAGAGAGAAGAGAGAGAGAGAGAGAGAGAGAGAGAGAGAGAGAGAGAGAGAGAGAGAGAGAGAGAGAGAGAGAGAGGAGAGAGAGAGAGAGAGAGAGAGAGAGAGAGAGAGAGAGAGAGAGAGAGAGAGAGAGAGAGAGAGAGAGAGAGGCTTTTTAGAAGAAGAAAAAAGTTTTCAACAAAACTACCCTCTCCTTCATTTTGCAACAAACGTAACGTCCCTGAAAAAAAATCCATGAAAGAGTTTCACAAACGTACGAAGGTGAAGCATGGCACTGCCTGCAATAGGAAAGGCCCACTGCCAATCCCTGCCGCCCTGCCCGGCCGAGACGACGGACACGCCAGGCACATCGATGTCCAACTTCACGCTAAATTGACAAAATTAATTCGCTAAAAGTTTTCTTTGGGATGCCAAAAGTTCAATCCAATTCAAGGCGGGTAATAACATAAACCCGAATATAAAACAAATATAATAAAAAAGGATAAGGAAAATGAAAACGAAAATATACG